TCTTCTCCCCTATCATTTCATACCAACATACCTGCGTCTCAAAGTTCGGTTCCAGTCTCAACAAGCATCCAAACTTGCCCTCACTCGAATGCAGCACCGTCGCACCGACAATGTTCTTGCCATTAGGATCCACACCCGTCACAATACCCCACTTAAAGCCCTTGACCACCTTTTGCACGAAATCAGAGTCCATCGTTCTGTTCTTGTTGATCAGGCCGAAGATACTTTGGTGTTCGCGCGGTGCACCACCAATTTGCTTCCAGCGCTTGAAGAAGTCTTCTGCGCTAAGTTCGGCGCCTTCCATGTACTTGTGTAGAAGGACCGGAAGCTGGAGGGTTAGACCCTGAAGGGCTCCGGCGAGGTAGGATATGCGGATGGTGGGAGGGTCGATGAAGACGTTCTTGCATTCGAACATGATGGTCTGTTGTGTTTGGCCTTCGGGCGCGATGGAGGTGTCGGGTAAGCCCTTGATGTCCGTCTTCAGTGTTTCCGAAGACCGGTTGTCGAGAGTCGTGGTGAAAGATCCCATGGAGAACTGTGACTTGTTCGTGAAGTAGAAGATGAGAGCGCCCAACTGCCCGCGGTACTCTGTTCGTAGACCAATCTGTATTTGCTGGTCTTCATAGAGGACGCCTTCTGACCGAAGTAGGAGACGAGTATAACCAACCTCCCAGTCGGGACTGAGATGAGCTGCGCTTGCGAGATTTGGTGCTTTGGAAGCCTTGCTCAGATCCATGTTGAGATCCAGACCCTCTAAATCACTTGATATCGCTGCGACACCATTGGCGCCATTTGCCGCGCCGGTCTTGGCGTCCTTTGGTACGGGTTCGGTGAAGCTTCTCTTGACACCCGCAGATGTGTTCTGCCTTGCAAGACCAAATTCTTTGAGGTCCGCATTTGCATCCTTGCCACCAACCACCCACGTTCGCTTATCGCTAGTAGTGGCATGCTTCTGGTGTAATCGCGAAAGCAGTGCTGATGTCCGTTCTGGGTAGGGAGGCATCTCGTCGCATACGGTGCGGAGTAGATCGTCTGTCGGCATTGTGGCGAGGGTGAGGTATTCGCATGCTCTTTGCTGGAGTTCGGAATCGAGCGAGTGGCTGTAGGCGCGGAAAGCTTGAAGAAGCTGAGGCTTGATCTCGGGGAACAAGTTCACGTACTTGACGTAACACGATAGAAGTATCGCCCGTGTGGTTGACGAGCAGCCTCGCATCTTTGCGCTCAACGCCATGAACTGCTCGATTGGGCTGCATCCTTTGCTATCCGCAATCAAGTGGCCGAATTCTCCGAGCAGGTATCCACCGATCTTTACAAGCGTCTCGTGGCAGTCCGATTTGATGTACTGTAGGATAGTTTGCGCGGCGTACACTTGTAGCTCTTCGTTGTTCGTCGTGATCTGGATGACTCGCTGCCAGACTTCGTCGCTAACGTGGTCTCCGGCCATGGCGATTAGCCGTAGTGATATATCCACGTACCACTGAACATCAGTGGCGTACTTCTCGGTAAGAATTGCAATCTTGAGAACCATCTCTTCCCGTATCGCGTAGTCGGCAGATTGTAGGTATCGAAGGAGTTCGTTCACGATAGCTTGCGCGTTCGTTGGATCGCACATGCTGTATAATAGATCCAGACCCTGTCTTCGCACACTGATGTCCCTGTCTCTTAATGACCCGATGATGATTGCCTGGTGCTTCTTGATGGGGTCGAGGTTCTCAGATCGAGCAGCCAGATGCGTCATGGCTTCCAGTCCAAGATACCGCACGTTGGTTTCCCGAGATGCGATGAACTTGCCCAGCCGTTGCGATATTTGAACCATCAAGTCTTGCTCGGTGTCGAGATGTATTACGAGGTTGATCGCTTCGAAGAGGACGGCGTTTTGCGCGTTGTTCTGTTGTACGTTCTTGGGCATTTCGAGGGCTGAGTCCATGATCTTTTGGAGAGCTTCGCGAATCAGTTTCCGGATATGTGAGTCCTCTGTTTCTGTTAGTGCGAGTCTTCAGTAGTCGGAGAGTATACGTACCTGGAGGTGGGTAGTACTGCAGCAACTTGAGCAGCTTGACTAGTATCCACGGACACGGCACCTTGTAGTAGAAGTAGCCTTCGGCACACTCGTTGTCCACTACTATCCGCTTCAGCCTATTCGCTGCCTTGATGTAGCTTCCCTTGTACTGCTCGGTGTTGTCCTGAACAAGTGCCGTGACCAGCGAGGTTACGGAAAGTGCCACGCCCATATCGGGGTCGTCCATAAGCGATATTATGCGTTCCGCCCATTCATGTTGTACGATCGCAGGATGTTTTCGGTATAATCGCAGGAGGGTAAGGGCGGCCTTCTTCTTCACAAATGCCTTGGAGGCCCTATCCGACGTCAGCTTGGCCACGAAACCCGTCTCATGCCACTCACGGTGATATCAGAAGCCTGTGGACCTCGGCGCTTAGTGCCTCACCCAACTCCTTTCCACCAACGTTCGCAATCGCATGCAGCGCCAGACAGTTGTTAAGCTCATTGTGGTCCAGCAGGTCTTTCCTGATGCTGTTAACGACCAGGTGTAGCAGTTCGTGCTCCTCGTGTAGGAATAGGGTAACGGCGAGGTATCCGATCTGCTTTTCCGAGTATTTGGTCGCGGAGATGAGGTTGACCGCTTCGAGATGTCCGAAATCGACGTTCCATCCGAGGATGTATATGTAGAGGAGCTGCGAGAGTCAGTAATAGGGCAGGAGTGTCGGTGAGTGGCGTGTGTACCTTGCAAACGTATTTCTTCTTCTGGTAGCCATTCAGGCCGGCATCTGGGGGTTATTCTGTCAGAGCAGGTCATGTGGAAGGTGTATCCAAGGAGAAGTACCTCTGAACTTTTGCCTGCAATACTGTTAGCCTTCTGGACATGCTTAAACTCGGCAGCGTGTACCCACCGTATGTTGGCCAATTCCTTGTTGATGCGCTTCTCTTCCAGTTCTCTCGCGCGAGCATTCCTGAGGTCTGCGATGAACGAAACCAATCCTGTCCGCGTGTGAGCTTCGGTCCGTTGTTCGTGGGCATGCCGTCATGTACCTCGCATCGTGGGCACGTTGCCCGACTGCTCCCGGCTGAAGAGGCCTCCACCAGCCCTCGCTGCCATCTTGGAAGTGACCGAGGCCGCCATGCTGGTGGTAGTAGACGACGTGGTGGGTGGGCGGTTCCCACCTGGTAAGTAGCCCGACAATGCGGCGGCGGTAGTGGTGGTGCGCTATGGAATGGTGCGGTACGGGCCTCGAGGCAGGGTTTATGCCGGCGTGCGCGCTGCGGAGCGGAGGTCGATAGTTCGCGAAAGGGGCGCCTGTCAGCGCTTTCTAGACGCTGGCTGCAGGCTTATGGCGCAATCGAGAGCAGGACATGGAATTGGAACGAGCAAGGAAGACGCACAACACCCCGGCAAGCTATCTAGTTGTTTCTCTGCATGCACGACTGACGGGGGGAATAAGTGTATGTTCTACACATGGATGCCAAGCAAACAGGGTCTAGCGTGTAGCTCCTGCCCGTGCGAGTCAAAGTAGGAGCAAGACATCGCGATCTTGACCCTTATGGCAAGTGCAGGCTCCATGCATTTAACAGATGGTAGTACTGGACCAAATACCTCTGGGCATTACCGCGACAGCCTCGAAATCTAATGTGCATACGCCTCCGACCGTACCGCCGCTCTCCCCCGAGCTCCGCAAGCTATCGATGAGATGCCACCCGCAACACGATGAGGAACATAGAGACTAAGGAGACAGCGGCCACGTCCGCTATACAAAACATGCATCTCAGAAACACGACCGCCTTGACGATGGCTGTCTGGATTCGTTGTACGGTCCATACCCAGGGCAAGGACATGAGTCGAGAGAAACACGCGCATCCAAAGCAAGACGCGTCAACGCGCCAATCACGAACACAAGACACGACAATATAAGTCTGAACATTCAAATCATCATTCACTGATATCAGGTATACCCTCGATCCTTCGACCGTCCCATGTAAACGCCAAAAACACCCTCTCATGCTACACGCCACCGCGCACCCCCATACACCTCAGACTCTCATACCATATCCATGTCTCTACTTGCTAGTAGTAAAGTCGGTCTCCAAGCTGCTCGACCCGTTGTTCTCAGCGTGACCGCAGTTGCACGCGTCCTCTGTCCGCTTTCCGCATGCGCATGCTGAGGAGTCGGTGGGGAGCTTGTTCTCGGTGGCGGCTTTGTCGCAGGCTATTGAAACGTTAGTATACATGTATGGGGTATAAAGTGGATAGGTGGTAGGCGGTAGGTGGTGCTATTGGGGATACGGACTGGGGAGAGAGGGCATAAGGTGAAGGAAAGAAGGGAGCGACATACTGCATTGAAGAGCAGGCTGCTTTCCACACGAGCACTTTGCCTCTTGAGCGCACACGCAGGTGCCGTTGTTACGTCCGCAGCAGACCATCTTGGATGTTGTGGTGGTTGGTTGGTAGAGTTGAGGATGGAGTTGTAGTTGTTGGTTTGCGAGATCGAAGGTAAGATTGGAAAGTAGTGTAGGTAGTATTGATAGTTGAACTGTAGATACCTTCAATACGTCGACAGACAGCCCTTCTTTATACCCAACTACTCTTCCATGTACTATGTCATGGACCCTGGATTGCTAGCGCGTGAATCCACGTGAGTGGCTCGTCTGGCCAATCAGCGCGCTCTTGATTACGCTGATGCTGCGGAGTGAGGCTCAGGACTCGCAGGCGCCACCGTGCTGATTATTCACTGCTTTTTGCTTCTCTTCCATTTGTTGGAGATCATTTGAGGGTTATCTGATTGATATGTACGGTGGTTCGTAAGTGGCGTGAGGTGGTGTTAGGTGGGAGTCTCACTCGAAACATGTAGTTCAGATGTAGTGGCGACCACAACCATTCGATCCCACCTCATCAACAGCAATACCAGTTGTAGTTGTCATAAGTGGAGAGTGCATTATTAAGAAGAAGTAGTGTAGATACTAAAAACATAAGACATAACCATCATCGAAATCATTGCGGCGCCGTATTGGTCCGCTTCATGCCTTTACCCTTTAACCGTTCCCTCGCCGGTGACTCCTTGACCATTGTCTTCGGAGACACCTCTTCAATTTCACCAATAACCTCCCGAACCCTCACAGGAGTCCGTGGCCGCTCATCTGAATTGGTCTCACTTGCAAGCGTAGAGCCCCTAGCCCTCCCCGGCGACATGCTAGGCGCATCCGTAGTAGCCCTGCGAGCCAGCTCTCTGACTCTCCCCGGCGAGGCGCCTCCAGGGCTACCCAGTGTGCTGATGTCGCCAGAAGAGCGACGCCCTTGGTGCTTAGACAGAGACTGTCTAATGCGAGAGTATTGCGTCCATTTGGTCAGTCTGGAAGTCCTTAGTACTTCCCCGACGGCTTCTTGGAGTTCTCTTACCGCATTGTTCTGCAGCGCCTGGAGCAGCACAATCGCGTTTTGGTGGTCTCGGCTAGCTGTTGATGGGGATTGCTGCGCGAGACCTGCTTCTGTTGCGTTGGCGTGCTCTTTGATTGTTTCGAGGAGGCCGCTGTCCTCTTTTATCTCTTCGGCAATGGCTGCAGCGCCCTCAAGTGTTTGGGCGAGTAGGCCTAGGCCGAGTAGTCCTTCGGATCGGGCTTCGGGGTAGAAACGCTGCCGTACGAGTTGGGCGATCGGCTTGGCTATCTGGGGTACTTGTAAGATCTGTATTTGCACTGCTTCAACATCTTTTTCGGCGTTGGGCCGTCCGAGATATCGCAGCATGGCGACGATGGTGCGACCAAGCTCGATCATTGGGTTCTTCATGGTAGTGCTTGGTAATGGTGCGGACGGAGCGAGGGCTTGCTCGACAATGTGGGAGAAGATTACGGTGTCGGCTGAGATGTCTGGGTCGATGGCTTCTGTGTCCGGGCCGACAGTCTCGTACATGACCTTTTCGATGTTGTAGAAGTTGCCGGTGACGAGTTTGCATAGCATAGCCGCTGCCTCGCCACGGACTGAAGGATCGTCCAGTACGAGCATGCGACAACACGCTTCCATGAGTCCGGCATCTGCAAGCAAAGCCCTGTTAGCCTCTGGAAACGTAAGATGCCGCATGAAACCAGCTGCAGCATAAAGAAGGGCAGGCTTAGTGCTCTTCTTGAGAATCACAATCAATCGAACGTGAAGTTCCATGATCTTGACCATGTCTATGCAAACCTCATCAGACATGGCCAGATTTCCGACCATGACACAAGCGCATATTGTAGATGGGTATGCGCTCTCCCAAGGTGCGCGGAGCTTTGCTTCCAGCCTCTCGATAACAGGACTTCTGACGTTGAAGCTCCGTGCAAACACATCTGTTGCTGAAGCGGCAGATAGCAGCCCAATGAGTTGAGCCATCAGAAGAACCTGCGCCTCGTCCGATGTGGTGGTTTCCGCGTTTTTGCTTGTCGCGAGTTCCTGGAAGACGGCTTCGATGTCCTCTGGCTCCAATCGGGCCTCAAACTCCAGCATCAGGGTGACAAGATCGTCGAGAAGTTTCGGTGTTGCTATCCTTTGCTGGAACTCTGGGTCTTGGAGGTAATGTACCAGGATGGCCACGTACTCCAGATGATGGTCTTCATCGTATTGCAGTGCCACGTTCAACAGACTCTTGAATGTCTCCAGCGAAACCTCGTCTTTGAACTGGGCGTCGCTCAGGTTGCTTGTGGTCCAGCTCAGCAGGTCCGTGGCGTAATCCAGGGCTGCTTCCGGAATTCTGTCTAGTACTAGGAAGGTGCATATTGTGGCATCCAGTCTGAGCGCAGCCGCTGCAGCTTTGCCGGGTTCTATCTGCATGAGCTGCATGTCTGGAGGATCCTGTGGCATTGCTCACCAAAATCATTACAAAGATTGAAAAGTACGGCCAAAGTGGTCAAGCGTAGTTCTGGCGAGGGAAGGCAGCCAGCGATGGCACCGAGCTCTCTCACGGCGAGCTCTCTGTTGGTATCTTGACTCCAGTCAGACTGTTTGCGTCATACGAGGGCCCCTTCAGGTTACAGTACCATTATCAGCAACCGAGTTGCCAATGACTCTCAGGTATTGCTTTGCTACGGGATCTTCATGGCGAACGGTGGACAAGCCACGAAGAGCATAAGCAAGGATGCCGCTGTCGCGGAACGGGGCCTGCCATCTTTCTACACAGTGTCAGCAGGGTTGGCTTTGAACAGAGGCATAACATACTCCGACCGCCAACGGCCGTCCCAAACAGCTGCAAGGTCTTCTCTACGGCCTCTGTGTCCCCACTTGCTGCAAACGCATCGAGCTTATGCACGTAACCTGTGAGGACAGCGGTCTGGCCTGCAGGGTTGCCTTGGAGTAGGCGCTCTAAAGACGCTATATAGTCGCCAAGCTCCTCATTGGATAATGGCATATCGCAAAAGTGTGAAGATGAAGAAACGCAGTCGCTCAAAGTCGTGGCAAAGCTCAAGAGTGCATAGTGGCGGTAGAGATTGCGCAAGGATGAAACGGCTACTCGCAGTCGTCCGGAGCCGCCGTGCAGGTGATGGCTACTAGTCGGATTGGTTTCAGGAGAACTCCAGAAAAAGTGCAATCAATAGTTCAGCCACTTGTTTTTTGCAGATGCGGAAAGAAACGGGGTGAGTTCCTGCGGCAGCGTCGACCCACCACGCGGTTGGCCTTGCCTTTGGCCGGTTCCGTTGGACCCCTGGACACAGATCCCTTGGCGGCAATTGAGCGATCTGGCACCGAACATTCACCACCACAGACGTCGAGCATCACGCCCTCACCCGCACTTCTTCCGACTACCGACCCTCGTTTAACCCGTTTACAACAACCAATTCGCCAACATGACGCGCGCTACGCAGACCATCAGCATTGGCATGCTCCTCACCTCCGTATGCAGCCCCTTACCTCTACATATACAAGATTGGATGCTAACATGTGACAGATCTACCTCTCACTGTTCCTCCAAGTCGTCCCGCTGCCTCAGAAGATCCAAGAGGAGATTGTCCCTTTCGTAAGTCTCACCTTTACTTAGAAGCCTTGGCCCACCTTTACCATCTCCATTGTTATTGTACTGGGCTGCCGCTAACCAAACCATAGCTACCCTTCTGGGCCCTCATCTCTTTCGGCGCATACCTTCTCTTCAAGCTCGGCTGGGGAGTCTTCACCTTCAACGACGTACCCGACGCGCACAAGGAGCTCATGCAGCAAATAGCGGAGGCGCGGAAAGACCTTCAGGCAAAGGGCGTGGACGTCGGCGAAGATTAGACGAGATGGAAGGGCGCAGCATAATTGGTGTTATTTTGGGGCATAGGATGGAATATCACAAGATATGTAATGGATGGGTATTTGAATGGCAAGATGACTGTATGGGTATTGCCGAATTCGAGGCTCAGGCTGCCGCAGCGGCTTCGGCCTTCTTCTGCGCCTGCTTCAACTTCTTCTCCGTCCTCATAAACTCCCGAATGCCCACGGGTATATCGTCAAACAACTTGTCTTTCTCCGCATCATCGAACCCGGTGTCCCAATTAGTCTCACTGCCACCACCGTCGTCGTCCATACTCGTAGCAATATGACTCGGTGATGTGTCTCCCGCTACCATGCTTCCTGTGCCTTTACCTTCCTGCCGCTGTGCCTGCATTGCCGCTCTGGCTTGGGCGCTCTTCTCTGCCCACTCTTCCATCTCATCCCGGTACATGTCCCATACACAGTTCACGCATCCAGACATGCAGCAGTTGTCTGGTTCCTCGGGTCGCGGAGGGACTAGTACGCCGGCAACGTTCTGGGACGATTTCATGATTTCCTGTTTGCGTTCTTCCAAGGCTGTGGTAGACCCAAAGATGATACGGGCTTTTGCAAATGTCTCTTCCTTTTGTGTCTTCGGTGGCTCTTTTGGCGGCTCGGGCGTTGTGTGGGATAGTGGCTGTACTTCCGACAGCGGTTTCTTCAGCATATCTGGATCTTGTTAGTTCGAGTACCGCTGGCGATGTGGGCGAGGGTCCAACCTGCATAGAAGCCGGTGATAGGCCTGGCTTGTTCGCCTTCTGGTGCAACATAGCCCTTGTAGCGACGCTGTATCCGATTGCTATTCTGTATCCCCATCTGCCCTGTCTTTATCGAGGCACGCGACCTGCGCCATGTCTTAAAGCACGAAGCGCAGAGCTCCTGGCGCAATGCCAGTTGCCCGGAGTATGCGATGCGTTCCATTGGTCCCACGAAACGATCAAGAAATAAAGCTATCAAGGGCGCTGCAGTATACTTGGCAGTAGCATATCGAGATAGAGCACTTTCCTCAGTTCGCTAGCAGATTGAGAGTAGCGATTGACCGTTCGACGTCATTTTGCGCCGCCTTCCCTGGCCTCGGCAAAAGCTGCAGCGAATGCCGACAGGGTAATAACACGCGCCTGACGCGTCCCACTCACCACCATCGTCTCTTACCCCACCAGCACGCATACTACAAACTCTGGTGTATTTTTACAGATAGGACGTTTAAATTACGCGCAACCATTACTTGAGTCATTGATAGAGCACGCGATAACACCATGGAATTACTCCCAGCCAAACGCAAAAGGACCAACTCGCCCAGTCCACCCGCGTCCAGTCCTTTGAGGAAAGCTCCGCGACGGGCGTCTTTTGCGTCCCCTACCAAAGCCAGTCTTGCCCGTAACTATCCGAACCTTCTCTCTGCATCTCCGAAGCGCAACCCAAACCGACCTGTAGCAGCTAGAAATGGCTCCAGAGGAAGGGAAGAGACCGAAGTGGAACTACCCAGTGAGAGCGACCTGCCAGAACTCCCAGGGACACCATCACAGAACAACCGTGCAACTTCAAAGCAACCGCGACGAACAATACTATTCTCTTCACCAAGCAAACGACCCCCGCGCGTCAGAGATCCCGTCAAGCAAGCCCCACTGAGTTCGAGAGCGCCAGCAGTACAATCAGACGATTTCGCAGGGACGGTAGACGATGGTCCAGTGGAGGACATGACCGAGGAGATAACTCAAGAAGTGGTACAGAAGAGGCAGCCTCCAGATCCAGAAATTGAGAGAAGGAAACAGGAAAAGGCGCGTCTACAGCGTGAAGTGCAAAAGCTGGAGTCTCAGGTGTCAAGATGCATCGAAGAAGTCGTTAAGGAGCAGCGCCGCGGTCCGGAAGATTATCTGCGGTCTTCAGAGCGCGACAGTCTGGAGTGAGTCTAAACCCCTCCCCGATAGCCAAACTGTGACTGACACAATACCAGGAAGTTCATATCCGACATCAGCGGCACCAATACAGAGCCAGAGAAGCCAGCACCTGTATCGAGTCTGCTCTGTTCATTCCTACCATTCGCCGCCCTCTCCGTTCCTCCACAACGGCCGAAACAAGAGGAAAAGCCCGTCCCATCGCATCGCCCGGTCGAACTCGTGGATCCTTTGCCATACCTTCAGATGTTCACATCACTCAACTTCTCCACACAACTCAGCCTGCCCCGCGACAAGATATTCCCAACCTCACGGCGGGTCCTTCAGAAACATACCATCGACATTGCGGGCCCACAGAAGCTGTTGATAGCCCAAGTCTCGATCACCATCGACGCGTTGGCGAATGAGATAATCGAAATGCAACTTCTACGACTCTCACCGTGGGCTGAGCGTGAATTGGGCACCTTTGTTCGCGCGAAAGCGCGGGAAAGAGATATTGGCAATGCTTCCTGGGCTATGGATACGTACTGGGAGATTGCAAAGAAGCGAGCACAACACTGGCACAAGTGCGAGACTGCGTTCCCGCATCTACTTGTAGGCCGGACCTCAGCCGACACGGAGAACACACAACGACTGCAACTAGGCAAACCCGCGACGACTGTCACACGCAAAGACCTGAGCAGGAACTTGGGACGTGATACCCTGATCTTGCAAGACAAACACGTCCTCCTGAAGCTCAACTGGCAAATCAGCTTCGATTGGACAGGCGAAGCGGAGTCGGACGTCAGCGCCGAGGCTGCGCTCCCTCGGGTATGGTCAGAGACAGACGACGGCGGCTCAGCGTTGAACAAGATACCCGGGACATTCGCTTCTCTAGTGCACAGTAAGGGCATTTTCCAGGCCACTAAGGTCATGGTATCCCTATTATTTCCCCAATAGATCATTTCTACACTTCAAGTTTTGCTCACACGTGACTTTTAGATACTGCGATGCACTGGGTGTTTTTGTGGGGGGATCTACCCCTAGGGGTACTCAGGGGCCTCTTGGGCTAGGAGCCCACCAAGTATAGGGCTTCGGCCGCCTGGTCTGGGTTCTGTTTGGCCAGGAGCTCCGTGCGGTTGACGGTTCCTGTATTGGAGCAGTCAGGGGCTCCTGGCCTTATTCTTACTACCGTCGATGGCTGGGCCATCCAAGTCCACAACATGTGGCAAATTGAGGTGCTCAGGGGGGCGTATGCCCATATCACTGGGCTGGAGTGGGTGGTGGAGGAGGAGACCATCGTGGTGTGGAGAGGGGGGGAGTCAGGGGGTGAGGAGGGGGGTGTTGTT